TTTAACTTTTCTATCGAGAAAAAGTTATTTCGCAATACACATCGTTATCGTTCGATCGCCCAGCTCTAGTTTACCTGCAGGGACCCTGGACACACAAATAACGGAAAAAGGAAAACAAATTACGCTTAAAAGAAACTTTGTCTGAATATTTCTCAGTTAAAAGCTTTTTTTTCTTAATTATTTTTCTTTAAAAATCATTAACAACCTTTTCGAGTTAAATAAAACTCTGTGCCTGTAACATCTTCACTGTTTTGAACTCTGTTGTACTTGTTAGCTACAGGCTGGGCTCCAGAGACCGTCTTTAGTGAACGAGTGGTGTTGAAGCTTAAATGAGTTAAATCTGTCTCAGGGGGGAAACTCTGGTTTTGTTTTATAAATGCGGCATTTCTAATGTGTTTGAATTAAATGCTACTTCGTTTAGAAGCTGGTAGGTGAAAAGTCAAAACTGAACAACTTCATCACACCCAGCGGTAAAATGCTGCCCCCTGGTGGTGAAAGCTTTGGTTAAAATATACAGAAGTTATTTACAAAAACAAGGATGAAAAGGATGAGATTTTTATTTTATTTTGTTTCTATTTCGTTTGAGCGACACGTAGAGACGTCTCGCTGACGCACTCGCCTGTTTTTCAGGTTCAGGAGTTCGAGCACGTAAACGGCCAGTGGTCGATGCCCTGGATGGCCGAGCTGGAGGAGAACAAGAGGCCCGCGGCTCAGCCCGACTCTCCTGCAAAAACGCCGTCCACCGGCACCCCCGCCGACACGCAGCCCAACACGCCTGTGCCAGGTAACACTCACACTGGAGCTGAACCAGCAAACACACAAGTCATACAGGATACTCGATGTGTTTGTGATGAACAATATCACGAGATGCTTTGTGTTTGTAGTCGACGACTCCGCGAAGGACTGTGAGAAGGATGTGAAGAAAGAGGGCGAGGCAGAGAAGAACGGTAAAGAGGCCGGAAAAACCAGCAACGAGGTAAAGACGGAGTGCCGTGAATGAAATCGGCTTTATGGAGTCGGAACGGTTTTTAATCTTCCACGTCTCCGGCAGGTGATCGCCATCCCAGACGATGACGAGAAGAGTCCGTCAGCCGAGCAGGAGAAGAAGAACGGGGAGCCAATGGAGACGGACAAACCGAGCAATGGCGAGACGGAGGGCGTGAAAGAGAAAGAAGGCGAGAAGATGGAGGAAGGAGAGGGTGAGAAGAAGAGTCCAGAGGGAGCGGAGGAAACGAAGCCCCCCTCGGAGGCAAAGACGGAGGGGTCAGAGGTCAAACCTGAGGATGCAGAGGTCAAAGGTAAAACTAGTCTCTCAGGATTCTGTTTTAATATATTTTTAAATAAAACTTTAGAGAGTAAGTGATGGAGATACAGTGACAGATGTTATTTGGTGACTAAGTTCTTCCTTTTTTTAAAAATCTTGATTTCAGCAGAAGAAAAGAAGGAAGAGAAGACAGAAAAGATGGAGACCACGCCTCCCGCAGATGAAAAGAAAGGTGGCGATGACGTTTCCTGCAGGGTTTCTCGGCGCTCTCCGACGCTCTGTCGTTAATCGTTTCCTTTTTCATCCTCCCGCAGACGTGAAGGAGGAGAAGGAGACTCCGAAACCAGCGGAATCGGCGGCCAAACTGCAGAACGGAGACGGCAGCAAGGAGGGAACGGCGTCGACCGCCGCTGCCACGGCGAGCGGGGCCAGCGAGGAGAAGAAGAAAGCCAAGACTCGGTTCATGTTCAACATCGCAGACGGAGGATTCACAGGTACGCGCCGGCTCGGACTCGAGCACAACTCGTTCTAATGTTTTCAATCCAACGCTGACTCGCGCGTTTCTCTCAGAGCTCCACTCGCTGTGGCAGAACGAGGAGCGCGCTGCCACGGTAACCAAGAAAACCAACGAGATCTGGCATCGCCGCCACGACTACTGGCTGCTGGCCGGCATCATACAGTATCCTTTGCACACCTGTCTGTCTGTTTGGTTTCCCTGGAGACTAAAACAAAGCACTT